AGTGAAAGTAGGGGAGTCTATGTTGATTTCTTGGCACTTTGGGATACTAAAAACATGATCTGATATTCAGTGTGTGTTTTGCAGACAAGTATGTGTGTAGGAGCACATGTGGAGTAATTACTCAGGAGGACTCTGGTTTGGCAGCTCCAGGGGCTGTAGTCCTCTGTTTATCACAATCAAGGTTATGATATGTACATCCCCACCCAATGCTCCATCTCTCTGCCTCAAACCTGTCTTGAATGAACCATAGCAGGGGTGAGCAGGATATATAATGGCTTTGGTTATTAATTCTTTGCCTTTTCTGTTAAGTTCCCAGCTTCCATGTCACTTGGGACAGGACACTTTTCCACTGGATTGGGATTATTCATTGTATTAATGGGAGCTATGTTTCCTCTATAGTGTCTTCTCTTTCCTTCTATAAGCTCTTTGTTGTTTACAAATCACTGGAGCACTCCTGTCCTGCATCTTATGACCAACTGCCACCAGCCTTGTACAGAGTCTCATCTTTTTCCTTTCAGCCATCAAAATTTTCAACCCTACTTTCTATTTTTGGAATTAGGTGCTGTAATTTTCTATATGTTTATATCATGCCTAATGCAGGAGAATCCTTGTCTCTGACATGTGTCTCATTAATTTCAGCCTTGGTCAATGATTATTTTGGGGGAAGTGTTTTGTTACACTGCATGTATAATTATAGTGGATTTTCTCTCTTACTACCCTGACAATTTGGTTTTAAGAGTTTATTATTACATTAAAATAGTCTACCCTAGTAAATCATTATCAGAGTGCAGATTCCCATTAATTCCATTTCAATAAAAGTCAATAGTTGTATCTCCCCAGTTTGGGCTGATCTCACCCTCTGCACTTAACACAAATGAAATCATGCCTGTGTGTACACTTGCACGCCATGGTGGTCATGTGTGCTCAAACAACTCCTCACTTTGCTCTCACCCCCTCCAAGGTGGATGTGCCAGATGCTCTAGAGCTGCTCCCAGAGGAGACACTCCCATCTCTTACAAGCTCTTAAGTTCTCGTCTCACCAGCCAAAATATTTCAGAAGAATTTTCAGAAATGCAGGTGCGTGCAGTTGTGAGGAGCAGCTTGCTTTGAGCTCCATGGCTGTTTCACCTTACAGCAGCCATGCTCTCAAAGGCAATTATCTCTATAGTAATTAACAAGGGAATTTTCTCTGATGCTGCAGCATGAGTCATGCAGCTTCCAAAAGATTAGTTTGTTAGTTACTGAATAAAATGTTTGCAGATGTACTTTGCTATGATAACATCTCTGACTGGGGATGACTCATTACAGATGCAGGAGTAAAGATCTGCAGGGCCAAAATGTGACTGCATGATCCAGAATTTTAGGCTCCTCTAGCAGCTAGCATGACCCCAGTGTCAGCAAGAGGAATTTGGTTCTGCAGTAGAGCCCAAAGAGGAAAAAGTCCTTTTGCCTCTTCTCCTCACTACCTCTATATTAGCAGGGAAGGAGAGGTGGCAGTATTTGCTCCTCATAAGAGCTGGAGTGCCCTTCTTAAGGGGCAGGAGAAGAGATATCTTGGGCTGCTAAGTCTCTTCCCTTAGAGACAGCAAAACTGGGCCAAGTCATACCAAACAGTGCAACAAAGTTCATGCTTTCTTAGTACTTTGTTTCTTGAATTAGAGATGAGCTTTGGGACAGCCAACTTCAGCCTTGTAAGAAACCACTTCCTATTAGCTTCTATATTTTTTTCTATTCTGAAGTGTCTGTTTAAGCATTTTTTTAATAACAAGACCCTCTTATCAAATACTGGGTTGCATTGCAAACATGCAGTGGTTCTGCCTTCTGCAAGTACCCAAGACATGGGATGTACAACCTAATTCCTTCATCTGGAATACAAATTCTCATCAACTTTGATTAGTATTAACCTTGAAAGTGCTACTCCTGACTCATGCCAGTTAGCTGTAGGAGAGTCAGAGCTGCAACCCATGAATGAAACTGGAATGGATTTGAGACTAAATTTAGTAGCACAAATTGTAAAGAGTAAGGTAAGATGGCTTTAGAAGTCATTTCAGTTAGGGTCTTCTGATGGTGTGCACAGCAGGAGAATGCTTTAAGGACTTGTTAGCTAATAATTCCTAGTGAGTGTGCACCATGCATGAAACTGGCACACAGTGTGAGTAGGGATTGACCCTGTCTGTGTGCACTGGGTTTAACCACAGCCAGCTCTGGAACAGAAAACTGTGACAAAGAGAAATAGGATTTAACTCTGGAAGTCCTAGACTTCTGACTGTGAGCAGGGAACTGCTTCCACAAATGCATGGAGTGACCAAGGACTAGAGGGAATAACTGTTCGTTCTTGGGGACCTGTGTAAAAATTGCTTGGGAATTAATCCTCTGCTTTGCTTTGGCATTGTTTATATTGACAGAGAAACATTAGGAACAAGCATATTGCTGCAATCTCCTTCTGTGACAAAAACCCTTCAGTTAAAAATTCAAGACAAATTAAAAATGGAAGTAAGGTCCATTCACCATATCTTATTCTACCATATGTAGAGTAATCAGGTTAGGATTGTCTTCAGTTTTGCTGGCCTAATAAACAGAGCATCTATCAGAAGCACTGTTTCAATGACACAAAAATGAGAGTGACTACTTCCCTTTATCTCTGTTCAGTGGTTTACAGAAGAGAAAATTCTGCACCAAAATTAGCCCAAATTTGAAAATCTCATCAGTGCTTGAAGAGGGTCATGAAATGAGCAGTGCAATCCCTTCATGTTATTCCTAATGCCATATTTGTGTTTAAGGGTGTGTTGGCCTTGCTTCATGGTAGGTTCTGTTTTTGTAATTTAATTTAATTTCTTTCTTATTATAGGCATGCAGATTGCAAATCTAATAATAAATTTTCAGTAAATATTACTTTGGGAGGCATGTGTTCCTTAAGGAAGCCTTAGAACCAGTTTTTGTTTTATTTAGAAAATGTGCACCATGTAAATAGACCCTGAAAGATCTTCTGCAAGGCCAGGGATGTGGTGATATGAATTTGGCTTTCTTTATTCTTGTGTCACTAGAGGCAAGCTTCCTGGATGCACAAAATTCACTGCAGGTATTGTGGTTCATATCAGTTGAGGATTTTCTCCTGAAGAGAAGAGTAGCCTTAGATGGAAAGAGATGTTCAATGAGACTGAGATTTTTCTTTTTTGCTTAGTTCTGGCAATTGAGTCAGCTGCATTGTTTGTACCTCAAAAGCTGTAAAATGTAACATAAATACATTGTGTGATGTACCCATTGTGAGCTTATTTAAATGGGCAGCATCCAGGGAAGGGGTAGTTAGAGACACCCAGTGCCTGCAGCCCCTGCAGTGGTAGGGGATGGATGAAGTCAGATAGGTCTGAATGATGTCCATGGACATACCAGTCCCTAGGAGGCAGAGGGATGGAAACCCCCAATTTCACCTAGAAACTCCCATTCAACCCTGTATTTGCCCCTCACAGAAGAGAGGTACCTGAGGATATTTCTCCTTGCACTTATCCTTTATTCAGGCTTACACAGATTCCTTTCTCCTGACAAGGCCCTTCCCAAGTATTCAGATGGTAGAGAAACAACAAAAAATAGAGATAAGAATGTGTCTATCCCCACTCATAAATGCACTCCTTCCTGACCTCTGGGACTGGCTGGATGCCCAGTATCCCTGAAGCAGGCAGCTTGACTACAGAGGATTGCTGCAAAGCTGTAACAAAGCTGCATGAGGCTCAGAGGGCAATGCAAAGCTGGGCTTCTTCCCTGTCATCCACAAAGAGAAAACATTAGTACAGCAAGTGTTACCTTGATATTTTAAGATTATAAGGGCCCCCATTACTTTTCTCTTTTGCAATTTTCTGTAGAAAACTTACTACTCTCTGTATTATAAGAATTAATTAAACTTACTACTATAAATTAATTAAACTTACTACTCTCTGTATTATAAGAATAAATATTGTGAGAGATAGCTGATCTAGAATTTTGAGGTCAAATAATCTCTATTTAAGAAATATTTTAGCTTTTTATGTGGTCCTGAGAAACTTGCCTGGCTTGAATATGGGTGTTGGACAAGATGACCTTCCTTCCAACTCAGCCATTACTGTGTTTCTGTGAACTCCATGCTAGTCTCTACCTCCTCTGATAAACTGTCTTTGAATTTATTTACCCACTGTTTAGTTCTTTATTATTCAATACTTTGATATCTGGCTACAGTGGAAAATTTCTGAGCTTTGGTTGGTTTGGGATTTGATAAAATGTTGTATTTTGTTTATGTTAGACTAGTGGCTTTATGCAACTCAATGTTACCAAAGATGGCAGGTGATTAAGGCCCCAGTTTGATTTGCCACCTTTTTTGAGTTATCTTTGTATTGTGCAGTGCTGTAAAGTCAGTGGGATATTACATGTGTGTGGACTCAAGCAGGTCAGTGTGTGATTTTTCTGGATTATGACCAGAAAGTTTAAAGTTCATATAAATTATCCCTTATTGACATTTTGCTACACCCAAAGGGTGAGAAAATAGGATGGAAAGGATTACAATTTTCTGCTGATTCAAAAAATGATTTTGACAAAAGTGTTATTCCTTTCAACTGCAAAATCATAAGAGAGGTAAATCTGTAAGAGGGACAGAGTGAGACTGACCATGCAGTCAGCTCAGATATATTAATTTGGGTTATATGAGTACAGCAAATGATGCCAGCATAGGAAAACCCCACTTAATTCTTAGCGATTGCCTGTGATTTATGGCAGAATTACCATGATGTAGCTCTTGGAACAATCTTAATCAAACAATCAATGACATGTTGTCATGCAAGAACAAAGATGACAGTGGGATAAGTAAAGAGGGGTATCATTTTATTCCCCACCTTCAAGGGTGAACATTTTTAATGGAATATTTTGTAAACAATGTGAGCTGTGAAGGAAGTAGCAGTGGCCTAGTCTTAGGAAAAAGAAAACAAGTCTTGATTTTTTTTACTCATTCAAATAGAGCTTGAATTGTTTTTTATAAGGGATCTTGGAACATCACTGTCCCGTCTCCGTGTCCTGTGGATGGCTCGGTGTGGCCTGTCAGATTTAGATGGGATCTCTTCCTTCAGCTCTCTAAAAGTAAGTATAGATGTATCCTACCAAATGACAATCTCAGATCTATCTTCAGTTGATATTCTTTACTTTTAGTCTTCATTCTCCTCAGCTCTTGCTTTTCTGGCTGGCTTTGGTTTGATGCCTTAGATTGTGAGAGTTAGTTTAAAAGATGCTACAATATAACCTTTAAAATGAGGTGTAACATTCAGGTCTGATCCTGAGTACGCCTAAAGCAGTATCTGGCTAAATTAGCTCTTATTATTAAAGGCTTCAACAACCACACTTTATAAAATGTTCACTACCTTGCTAGTTTCATCCTGTAACATTTAGTATTTCAAGTATCAGAAAAGATTTTGCAGAGCCTCAGTGTTACTTGTGCAAGCCCGTGGTTTACATGTTTATTCTGTTTACTTCTGCTGAGGAACTCTACATTGCTTACAACAATATCTCTGACCTGAGCCAGCTGACCTGGCTGGATCACCTGGAGGTTTTGGACCTGGAAGGGAACAATATTGAGGACATCAACCAGGTGCAGTACCTGCGACTTTGTTGCAAGTTAAGCCACCTGACAGTGGAGGGCAACCTTATTTGCCTGAAGCCAAATGCAGAATCTACAGAGGTGAGGACTTGGTTTGCTCATATTGTGTTATTTTTTTGTCAGTACTTTTTAACTGTGAGTTGGAAATGAGAAACGTTTCTGCATCTTCCTATTGCATCATTCTCAATGATGGCATGGGATGCATTTCCCACCTTAAATTTCTGTTGATTTTGTGGTCTCATCAGTATGGTCTCCAGGGTGACCACTAGTGAAATACAAGACTGCTAGTAAAGACTCAGGCCTATTTCCCAGCAATATGAGGAAAAACTTCTCTTGGAGTATGAGCCCTGGAACAGGTGTCCCAGGGAGGCTGTGGAGTCTCCTCCCCTGGAGATACTCAAAACCCATCTGGGTGAGATCCTATGCGGCCTGCTCCAGGTGAACCTGCTTTAGCAGAGGGGCTGGACTGGGTGATCTTAAGAAGAAATTTCCAACACCAACCATTCAGTGATTCTGTGGTGAGACACCAGTTTTTGAGGGTTTTGCATTTCTTTTGGAGGCTCTCCAGTCCAAAAGCAAGTCCTCCAATGCCACCATGCTCAGAAGTTGAGCCCTCAGAAGAACAGTGCTTGAGGTAACTAGGAAAAGCCATAATGTTGGAACTATTTGTTACCCTTTCCCCTGAAATCTTAAAATCAAATGACCAAAAAGACCTTCAGAAAAACATGAAGATGCAAAAGTGATTCACATCTTACAAACTAAAATGATGGAATAGTTTCTGCTGAGGTATTTTGTTGAAGGCATGAAAGAGCCTCTGTGTCACAAAGATGAGAACATAATAATACATTATCTGATTTGGGTTTCAGGGCACTCAACAAACAAAGCAAGGGAGATCTAATTCTACATGAACAGCCTCAGAGCTGTATTACTCTCTTTGACTTTCTCCTGCTTCATAAAAAAGCATTGTTGGGATATTAAAACATCAACATATTTGCCATCCAGGTCTTTTGGAAGGTCTATGGACACACACAGAGTTATGTAAAACACAGGTCTCACCAAGAATGGTGCAATTCCCAATGGCACCATAAAGAGCCGGTAATGCAGGTCCAAAATCAGAGCTGATGCTGTTATCCCACTGTAACATACTCTATAGCTTTTCTGTATATTTTAAAGAAGTTATGCTGATGCTGTTAATTTGCCTAAAAGGTTGGGTTTGATATTTTTCCTGGACTTAGACTTGAAAACACTAAAACTCAATCATGCAATAGACATATATTTTAAATTTTGGCACTTCTTAAATATATGAGTTAATAGCATTTTTCAGATGTAATTGTTGGCTTGATCTTATTGTTCAGTAAAAGGGGCCATGGAAGGTAGCTCTTTAGCTGTCATAGTTTTCCTCTCTGGAATTCAAAAGAAAATATTATATACTTGCCTTTCTAGTTTAAAGTGGTGGAATTATCCTTAAGGGACCACATTGTAACTGCTTGTAACCAAAGTGATTTCTCCATTTTGGAACATTTCTCCCTTATGGAAGATGCAATCATGAAAGGAAAAACATATTCCTGCAGTAAGGAAGCACTGCCTGCTTGTGATGGACAAGGCATGCCTGCTTACTCTTTCTGCTCCCAAGGAGATAAATACAGCTACTGACACTTCATATCATAGCTTCCTACTATGGAAATGGTGCAGTGTATCCTAACAGCACAGAAGGTCTGATTCTACTCCTTTGTTGTTCCTGCTCAGTGAAAGTGGGATTTTTGGAGGATTTGGCATCTTCAGTGTTTAAGTGTACTTGTAATGGAGAAATGTCAGATTTCCCTTGGGCTGTTCAAGTGAAATGAGTCCTTGGGGTGCTCTGCATGTTGTCCCATAATGGAAGGACAAAGAGCAGTGGTCTGTGGTGAGGCGCCCTCCTGCTCTTCTCCATGCAGAATGGCTGTCTCTACTCCTGTGCAAGTAGGTGCTAAGATCTGATCAGTGAGAGATGCTTCTACCCGAGTTACAGTGCAAACCTTATGCCAAAGTCAATGATACAGATATAGTTAACAGTAAATGTGAGGTAGACAAATAAAAAGAAATGGAAAAGAGAGGAGAGAGAAGAATATTGTCACCACCCGTGGATCCGGTGGCATCCCTGTTGATCATTCTTCAGCCTGGACTTCTTGGTGGTAGGGTCCCAACATCATTCAAAACTTTTCATTCTTTACCCATTTTAGCAAACAAAGCAATTAAGCATTAATTGGCTGCACGGTTTTCTTATGCTATTGGGTAAATGATTATCTCTTGTGTCTAATGCTAATTAGTCTACATGCTTAGTCTTTCTTTTCTTTTGAGCCAATGATCACAAGGTTCCCCTGTCAAAATTACCTTTTACCCAGTAGGAACAGATTTTAGCAGAGTTGCTGGTTTGCCTTTCCTTGTGGCCTGTAAATTCTGCATTTTTTTGTTTCCATTATCAGTGATACATTCTTCCCAGCTTTGTTAGCCTTCCCCTAAGTGTGAGATAACACCCAGACAATAGCACCACCTTTATCTTATCTACAGTCCAAGTTCCAGGTATCCACAGAGGAATATCTGGGGGGGCTTCAAGTGGTCATTGGTGGTTGCAGATGTGAATTTGACCAGGGAATCAGCACAAAGGTGTATTTTACACTGAGCTGTAGCAGAGGCAGGCTGTGAGTTCACTGTAATCTCCCACCCAGTCTCTGTGATGCTTTGCTTTCAGGTGGTTACAAAGTGGGGCCTGCCCTTTATTGCTGAGAGCTTCTCCATGGACTTTGCTGCTTTCTTGATTTCAGTGGATGTTTGCATTTTTTTAGTGTATAGGAAAGCCATTTAGAAAAGAGTATATGTGGGCTTACTTTGGTGTCCCCTTGACGGCCAACTCTAATTCCTCAAGCTGCTTCTTGTAGTCTGGCCCTTGCTAAAGGTCTGTAAAAGCTCTCCTATTTATTTACTTTTAATCTACAGAATGGTCCAGCTAAATTTACTGCTCTTTCTTCAGATGGCCTGTTTGCTCCCTGTAATTTGATTTTCAGATGAGCTCATCTTCCCCTGTTATCTAAACCAAGAGCAACAACTTGATGATAAATTCTGCAGCCTCTGTAGCTGAAATGTAGCATGAGCGTAACATGATTCTTCTCTCCAACAGGACATGGCTGGGAATTGGCTGTAGCTGAGAATGGTTGACTCAATTTCTAAATTAAGATTAAAGACTTAGTTTGCGAAAATTAGTGTCTGCCTCTTAACAACAACTAACACATTTTATTTGGTGAGTTCCCTCTGCCAACATCAGTGCTGCATCATGCAGAGAGAGGGAGCATCCAAGCAACCAAACCCCACAGAAAGGTTTCTGCTTATGACCACTCTGTATTGAATGAGGACTTGGCTTTGAGGAGGTTTCTAATATTTCATACATTATCTTGAAAAGCATAAGATCTGTCTGGGTGAAGCAATTGATTGGTGGGTAGCTGTCCATTTGTATTCTGCCACTATTTGTATTCTGCCTTATACTTTTTTTACTGTGTGCCTAAAACCACAATCCATGGAAGTGCTTTTTCTTTCTCCATCAGCAGGTGTAGCAACACTCATAACATGTTTTCAAGCCTTTCTATCACCTGAGTATTGAGGCAAACACCAGAGAATCACAAAAGCAGGGAGACAGATTATCTGAATACTGAGGGAGCCCAGGCTTTCCATGGGCATCAGTGGCCTTTTTGCTTTTGCACATTACATATGATATAACAAAGACAAATGGCAAATCGTCAGTGGGTAAACAACAAAAGAGCCTTTCAGTGAAGGCCGTGTCTTTGCAGTCCTCTGGACATTTTCATGATCAATTCAAGTAGAAATTATGTGAGGAGCATTTCAGATTGTATGGCAGTCATAGAAATTGAACAGTATTGAGTTACTGGAAGTCCACAGACTGTTAAATAAACTGACCACTTTCTCAATTTCTCCAGGAGCCAGACTATAATTACAGAGCAGAAGTAAAAAAACTCATTCCCCACTTGAAGTATTTGGATGGGATACCAGCAAGCCAGACTACTCTCCTTCCTTCCAAGAAGGTGCATGAAGATTCTCTAATCATCAAGGAATCCATCAAGGAAGGTGGTTTAGCCAAAGACATTTCATGGTTAGGTATGACAGGTTTCTTGTTGGGGTTCATTTTTCAAGTTATGATGTGTAAAAAAAGAAATATAAAGAGCAAGGCAACCTCTTTAAAGTCAATCTTTACTTATAGTGAAGGGACAAAGGATGTTGTTTTCTTCACCTGGGAAGTAAGAAAGCTGAAATTCAGCAGAAAACAGCGCAGATTTAAATGAAAGTTGTCCTAAACTGGGCATCAAGGTCAAAAATGCAGACAACTTCGAGAACATCAAGCAAATATAGCAGTAGCTGGGAGTCTGTACTTAGGGCTTGTTCTGCATGATGGGAAGAAACAAAGCTTGGAAAGGAATGTTTCAACCAACAGCTGTTCACAGCTCTTTCCATGGTAACAGTCAATCCCATGTAGCATGGATGTGGTAGGATTTCCTATTCCAGTTTAATAATAGGAAAGGCAATGTGGTTACCACCCTTCAGTGGTAGCAACATCCGAGAAAGATTGCATGGTCTTGTAAGAAATCTGTTCCACTTTCTTTGCTATTAGATTAAGTTCATTACATTCATTCGTAGAGAATAAATGGTTTGAAAGTAAATCTGTTGTCCCCTTGCCTGCAGCCTTGGTAATAGTTCAGATGTCCATGCTTTTACGTGTCATGCTACATGCACTTTATCACATACTATTAAATATTGCAAAGTATTTCCTATAACTGCTCATGTTGCTTCCCATTAGTGTGGGCAATGCAGTTGTCTTCCCAGCCCCCTCCCCAGGTTGTGGTTTGCCTGCCAACTGTGCTCCATTAAAAATTTAGTTTGTTTTGGAATAAGTACATACATTTGTCATTTATTGAATCCCTATGGGTCCAAATCATTAGTTGTAATAGTAGTCATGGTAGGGAAAAAATCCATTAAAATTTGATCCTTCAGTGATTGTGCTTTGGCAACATCACCTGAGGTTCAGAAAACTAGTTAACAAAGTTTGCTGACAGAAGCAGTAGGGGCAGAGCACAAAATTGTGAATTCATCTAATTCCCTGGTGTAACCAGGCTTATATTCTTGCTGGCAGCTCTAAACCAGTAAGTTCATACAGTCAGGTTCAGACATCCCAGTACATTTTTTTTTTTCCAGTAGCAATGTTGATTTGGGTACTTTCACATGGAGTGTATTTCATCGGTTCATATTAACAGCTGTGCCCGATATGTATTAAAGGTCCCTACCACTCAACTCTTAAGGAAATGGCCATATTATCACAGAGCTGATGCCTCACTTTGGAGCTGGTAGATGCTCAGCACTTTAAAAAGCACATTATTCATCTGGGCACTGGAATGAAATTCTCTCTCCCATGGGTTGTTGGCTGCATATGCTGCCCTTAGAGCTGTGCTGTGCTCCCAGGACAGGCAGCAGTTGGGCAGGTAAGAGGACAAGGCTCTGTCTGCCTTTGCTAGTTTTTGTATAATCCTTCTTGTCCTGTAGCATTACAAAAACAATTTTCACCTTTCTTTCTGTGGTAGAGAGCTGTCTGTCTCTGAGGCAGTACTGGAAAAATCTATCACTGCCATTCTCAGATTTTTGTAACTCCCGTTACAGTTTCTCCTGTTTGACTGATGGCTCTGGTAAGGTGTCCATCACCATCTGCATTGTGCCAGGGCATTTAAGCAATGTATTTAAGGACTGGGGCCTAGGCTGTGCCTGCAGCAAGTCTGGAATGGTTCCCCTGTGAGCAGGTGAGCAGCAAATGAGAGGCAGCTTACAGTTAGCCTGGGCATGCAGGCAGGGAAAGAGGCAGAGCCCTGGATGTGTCCAGCCTCCCCTGCGGGGCAGCCAGAGGTGGGTGGTGAGCACAGAGCAGTTCCTGACCCATAACCCCAGCAGTCTGTCTCTGGTGCCCTGAAGCAGAAGAAAAGTGGGAAGGGATATCAGTTTAGTTAGGGATCCCCAGATTCTGCCATGACTGTGCAGCACTGGAAGACCTCCTCCCCTAGGCTGGATCCATTCCAGCATGTTTCTTGTAGCTGCAGTTATATATTTTTCTGTCCTCTATAGCTCCAGGTGTGCAGCAGCAGTTGCCATATTGGCAAGGTACAGTGATGGTGTGGTTTGAAGCCTTGCATAACTGTGCTTACACTAATGAAATCTCTCTTCTAGGTCCGTATTTTGGGGAAGTAGCAAAGCAGTCTGAATGCAGCCCAAAACCCCCAACAACTTCCAGACCTGGAAATGCAGAGTGTTCTGCTAATGCAGGGACTTCTAGTGATGCCAGCCTCTTGGGCGGTGGCTGTCCTCTTCCAGATCCCACTGTTTTTCCTGATAAGCTGTTCACAAAAGATGACTCCAGTGATTTGACACATGGTAATGTATGTTTTTTTAATCCTGTTCTTTCCCACACCTCCACCTCCTTCTGAATGTTATTACTGATGAAAGCCAGAGTGCTTTGAATACCACCCACCCATGCCACTGCTAATCAGGTTTAAAATATGTTGTCTTCCACGAGAGAGACTCACCTGCTCTAGCGTAGGCTTTCCTTTATTTCCCCCTGCAGCAGAAGGTGAGAGTCACCTGCGCTGCCCATCCTCAGCCCCCTGCCCCCATGTGCTGCTGTCCCTTTTCACAGCCCCATACTGCAGTGCTGCTCCCCTTTCAGACCTCTTTGCAGCTGTCCTGCTTGAGTAACACCAGGCCACGTCCTGTTCAGCCATGGGAGTGTGGTCCAAGGCAGTCCTCCAGAGAGGTGTGGTGATGCACATTCCCTCCCCCCTGCATCGTGGGCTCAGACTGTGTACTGCAGTCTCATACTGCAGCAGCATTGCTGCTGGCAATGAACACTTGGGTCTGGGTTTCCAGAGGTTGGTCCCTCAGCAAGAGGAGTCAGTTCCTTGACTTCACATCCTGATCTACAAGCTAGCCCAAAACACGGGTCTGCCACTGCCCTTCTTGCCCTAGACACTTGGAAATACCACCCATCCTTCCCTGACTCCTGGAAACACCGTGATGGTGTAACTCCACCAGCCCACGGATGCAGATTAGATGGCATTTGTTTCCAGGCATTGTGGGCTGCTTTTCTCAGATGCCAGTCTCTCCTCAGTTCCCTGCCTATGGGGAGGACTCAGGATGGTGGATTAGATGAAGCAATGCAGAGTCAACAGCTGAGTGCACATTTGGAAATGTACATGGAAACTAAGTACAGCTTGTCAGGGAATGAGACTGTAATTTTACACACACTTTTAGGCAGCTAACACAACTGATAGAGACAGTTTCACCCAATGTTCACTGCTTCTTCTGACCCTTTGTTGCTTTATCTCTTTTTAACCTGATTTTAATCAACATCCAGCTGAAAAATAATCCAGCAGAACAAACAAAAAAGACCCCCAAAAATCTTTTTTTTTTAAATCTGAATTTGTTCCCTGATCTGACTGACTATGTATCCACACAAATATTTGCACCAGCACAACTAAGGAGGCAGGGCAGGGTCAGGAGAAGACAGATTCTGGTGGAAGCAGAGAAACTGCCTCTTAACAGCAGTCAGGCCATGCCAGCTGATACTGTGAACCTACACCATGAATATTACAACTTCCGTCTATGGGAAATTGTATTAACTGACTTCAATGATGGCACTGTTTGTTAAATGCTGGAGAAAAATGTTTTCTCTTTTCTTGTTTTTCTTAGGACTCCGTCAGGTTATATGTGGGAACCCTGCCAAGGCCCTCCATGTGAGGAGACAAAAGCTAGGTGTATGTTTTTCTTGTAAACTTCATATTCCTGCATGGTGACCCCCACAACTCCTGGGATAAACTGAACTCCCACTGTGGCTTGTAGCAGCTCACTCTGTTCTGTGGCCCAAGAACCCCCAAGATGCAGTTGCCTTGAGGAGGACAGAGGGTCCCCTGCATGATGTTGCATGTGCCCATGTGTTAGCAGCAGTGGACCATCAGCTGAAAGGGAGCAGTGAAAATCACATATCAGCTGCTGGGGGCAGACTTCCCATCCTCCTGCAATGAGCAAAGTACAAGGCAGGCTTGCAAAACTTGATAGTATTTCTACAACAGCTATTAAGAAAAAGGCTTTTTTCAGCAGTGTTTCTTTGATGTTGGTGTAAACAGCCAGCTTGCTAATGCTGCAAGGTCATTCCTATTGACTAAACAAACACAAAGCCAAAGTTTGTTCCTCTTGGCAGTGGGGTGGTGCCCCTGCCCTGTGGGTCAGCCTGCTCATTTTGGCTGTAATTCAGTGAGAGGATACCCATGTGTGTAAAGGGGAGCAGCCTGGCTTATCATGGTCAGCTTTTGTTGGCCCTGAGGTTCAAAACAGCACAGCTACACATGAGTAGATTTAAACAGGCTGGAGTAAATCAGGGAGATGCACAGAACACAGACTTAATGCTCACAACAGATGTTAAAGAACTGCAGGGAAAAGATAGGTACTGCCCATGTCTTTCTGCTACCACAGCCTCAGCATAGGAAGCTTTTCTGAAACAAATTTGAGCATTTTAGTGAATTATTTTGTGCTAAGAACTGGGATGTGGAATTGAACTGTGGTCATATACTGAGTGATGCAGTTTCTGTGGTACTGGTCTTAATATGCTTATAAGTATAGGTGCTATAGGCTTATATCCAGTGAAATATAAATCAACAATTTTGTCACTGCTACCCTGGGTTCCTCAAGCTGTAATAGTACATGACTGGGAAGTGAGACTTAAAACTGAGGAGATAGAAAATGATGAGGGATGATCTAAAAACTCAGAAACAACAGTGGGCTTTGATGTATGCTGAAATCCACATCTAGGAACGGAGCTGGGAAGTGTTCCCATGGATATCTAGATAACTTGTGCCATTTCCACAGCCACCTGCTGTGAGCCCTTTGAAACCGTCTGGTCTGACGACAGAAAACCTTTGTGGCTCTGGAGGAGGAAGAGATCTGCACCAGGAAAAGGTGTCCTCTGACCTGGGAGCATGGACGGAGCAGCACAAGGGGTGAGACCGCCGGGGAAATCTTGCCATGCCATAAACTCTGCATTCATTTTCTGCTGCAAAAATAAGATCAGCGCTTTGGCCACCTGCTGGTGGTTTCGAGGGATAATCTCGGCCCCTGCCTTCCTGTCCCTGCTTTGCGCGGCAGTCCTCCTGCCTGGAGCATCTGCAGGATGGCAAGGAAGAAGAATCCTCTTCCTTCTCTCTGGAGCACAGGCAGGATGGGCTCACTTCCTTAGCAAGAGCAAAGAAATGACTTCTCATAACTGGTGAGTTGCTCTTGGCCCTGACAGTGCCTAGTAAAAGAGCTGAAAGGGGATCAGCTTTTCTGCAAGCACCACATTGACCTAAGCAAACAAAAGGGTGAAAGACAAATACCACCTTGCTGAGATCTCATAGATCTCACAGACAGGTAATGGTTATTTTGGAAGTAAAAATGGTTTTATTTCTCTGAGCTTACTTCACTGGGTACTATTTTAAATCTGCCCCACTTCACCTGATTAACTTTAAGATGCTTGAGATAATCAGACACAGGCATCTTAGATGGCTGATCCAATTAAAATGAGTTTTCATATCTCCTGGAAGGTGTGAAGTAACAGTGTGTAACTAAATCCACTGCAGGGTGTTTGCCTGAGTGGCTGCATTTGACCAGCTGCATAAACACACTCAAAAGGTAATTAAAGTTGTGATACTTGATGTTGTCCAGGTGCCTGCAAACAGGTCAGCAAGAACAAGCCAGCCAAGCACTGAAGGTGAATAAAGGTGAAGACTGGAGCCTAACTGACAGCTTAGGAAATGAGTTGAGTGAGGCCTGTGATGAGGACCTCATTGAAAGGATTTCACTTGATTCTTCTTCCCGCTCCTCCTCAGGTACTGGACCTAAACCCCTGGGGGAGGGTTGGCCTTGGGCAAAACACGTGCTCTTTGTAGATAGGTGCATGGGTAATCCAGTGTTTTATGGGATCTGGCATCTGTGCTCCAGGGCAGCAAGTGGAAAATGCCATTGCAGGGCCAGACCCTAAGCAATCCATTCCAGTTTTTAAGCAGGACATTGTGGCCAGCTGTGTTGACCATCAGCTGATATATTTCAGCATGAATATGTAGAATTAAGAGGAGCAAAATTGATCTCACACTAGCTTAGCATCAAGTGTAGTAGAAGGACAAGTCTCTGTCTTTTACCTTGTGTCATTAATTTATGACAGTGCCAGGTGAGTCTAAAATAATGTCATTCCTACTGAGCTGTATTTGAACCCAGTTGGCACTGATGTAAATAATGGCTGAGCTAGTGATTAAGGTTTATCTGAACAACTGGGAATTCTGGAAAGATATGCAACCAAAAGGATGCATTCAGTAAAAGGTTTAAAAATGGAACATGCTCTTCTACTCAGGAATAAAGCCAAAGGCTTCTCTGAAATTGCATTTACGTGAATAAAAGCAGAATTCCCATTCTTCACTACTTGTTGAATATTGTCTTTAAGAATATTAAAAACATTAATAATGGTTATTCCAAACACATATCAAATAGAGGACCATATATAATTACAACTTCAATCTTTTTTCTGTTGTTAATCTAAACAACTCCTTTTTTCTCAATAAGTAAAAGCATGTGAGTTTTCATATTACATTTTTTTCAAGGGTAAAAATGGATCTACTAAAATTTAGAAAAATATAATATATTTTGAAAAAAACCTGGAAATATCACTAAATTATTCAAAGCCTCTATGTGTATTAACAGTACTCTAAACAGTATCTCCCCAACAAGAATAAAAGCTGTTTGGAAAAATCTAAAGGAATGGCCTATTGTCCAGTACCCACAGAAGTCTTAGATTATGGTCTCATGATCTCTTTAGATTTAATCTGATCTTTTTCAGATTTTATATGATTTCTTTACACTGAGTATGATGGTCTCATCATCCTTCTAGATTGACAGGACAATGTCACAAACATCCCACAGTGTACCAGTGTCATGCCCTATAGCACTGTGAAAGTGAATGGTTGGGATGGGTCTGTCCATCTTCTAACTAAATCTGCGGGATGATGGTGGAGTAGTTTGAAATCTAGAATTGTCTGAAGTGGTGGGGGGACTGACCAGGATCCTAATGACACTCAGAAGTGTGTCCAGTCCAGTGTGAGTTTCTCACAGAAGAACTTGTTGCTGGAAGCAATCCTTCTGACCAGAAAAGGACAAGTAATCTGAGCAAAGCCACTCTTACATAAAAATGTTTGCAGCATCAGATCCATATAAACTGCATTTTTTGGAAGGCGTTGAATGTTATTTCAGGCTCTTGAGTCAGACATACCAGTCTCTCAGAGTGGCTCTACTTGAAAACAAATATGAAGTTTAGACATTTTAAAAGTATATCATATGATACAAACTGTTCCATGAAAACTTTTTATCAGCTTTACCTAGGCAGTAAAATACATCCCCATCAACTGGGAGCCACAGAGATGAACTTTCTGGGCCTGGTGGCACATTCTTTAGATTATGTTCCTGGCCTGGACCCTGCACATCAGGCACTTAGGTACAGTTAGGTTCTTTTAATAGAAAGAGCAATTGGATCCCTGCTATTTATAGAATGGTTGGTTCTTTCAATAGACAAGAGCAATCAGATCCCTGCTATATTTAGAATGGTTCTAAGCATGTGTGCATGCTGGTTATATTTATAAGTCAGCAACAAGTTTTTTCTTCTCTGTGTGTTGCACATATTGCATGGAGAGAATGACATGGCTGAAACACAAACTGCCAGAAAGTAGCCCTGCATGCAGTGCAATATTTTCCCCAGCAGTCAGGCGCTTATTATGAGATTCCATGATCTCTGCCTCTGATTTAAAAAGTGGATCCACTCATCTGTGATTATTCCTCTGCCTTGCACTTCAGATCACTGGAAGGAGCCCTAAGGTATTTAGAGCAAGTCAGTGCAGACACTGGCAGGGAATGATGCAGGTGTGATCCTGCCTGAGAACAGGAGGGCAGGTGAACTCATGGGTGCCCTGTGAGCTCTGCCTGCGAGCTGTTCCTTACTTGGCGCGTCACCAGCAGTGCGGGCAGGGAGGCTGACAGTGAACCAAGCCAACTGTCAGAGGAAGAAATTCAACATGGACACATCTGCCCACCCAGCTCCATCACACAGCATCTCCAAAACTTTCCACTCCCTGGGTTAGTCATGTAGCAGTCAGATGAACTGGTAAATCTCTGTGCTTTCCACTCTGTTTCAGGTTCATCACAGGCTCAGGAGGGTGCAGTGTTCTCCAACACAAAACGTTATCTAATTCCATCCCCTCCAAAAAACCCTTCACCTGCCTCTGCAGTGGATGTTGCAGCAAGACCCTGGAAAACAAGGAATAATAGGGGCATAAAAATACCCAGCCAAGAGGAGGACAGACAGTGTACACAGAAATGCCAGTCAAAGGCTCATCAAGAGAATTCAGCCCAGCCTCTGGACAAAGACCCTGCTTTCCTGGGCCTGCACAGCACAATGGCTGCCTCTGGATCCCAAGGGCACTGCCAGCCTGTGGGCTGGACCAGCCAGCCAAGGCCCATTCCAGGACCAGCAGCTGTTGGGTCACCAAGGATCAGGTATGTGCACTGGAATGCATCTGGGGAAGGGACTTCATGGCAGGAAAAGTCAGATTTCTCTATTGTATCTGGGGCTCCTGCTTCTTCTGTAAAATTAATTCCTTTTATTTGTGCTGACAGTTATCTTTGACTGTCTAAAGCTAATTAAACATTTTCCCATGTTCCTTATAGCTTGAGTACTGTAAATTTTGTATTTTCATGAATAATAGCCCAGAATTTTGCTGTGTTCTTACTGCTCCATTCTCAGAGCATTCTCAGAGCGCACCCAGAGCCATTGCTGTGTCTGTTGCAAAGATCTTGTGGCACTTGTTCAAAAGTCTCCTCAAGTACACTCCAGGAAGGGTTCCTGACATCCCACTTGGGTTTTTTCCCTGACACAAGTTCATGTTAGAATGAGCTCTGGAAAATAAAGTAGGCATTAAAGAAGTGTCACATGTACCAAAACATGTTTATTTCTGAACCTGTTTGCTGTAAATTTAGCATCCTGTTGTTGCTTCTTTGAAGAAATACAACAGAGGGCTTGTGACATAACAGCTTGGGTTTGAACTGATGTAGTCACTTTGGAGTCAGCAAAGGCAGAGAGCATGTGCCTTGTGTGGGAAGCTCATGTGCCTGGGGCTGCTCCCAGGCCTGGCAGCTTTTGGTTCAGTTTTCAGAGCTGCTGAGGAGAATGCAGATATTCAAATCCAGAGTGCAGTCTCACCACAGAGTTTTCCTCTTTTCCTCAGGCCCATCATGGATGAGAGCCCTTCTAAAGAGATCAACCACCAGCATCCAGCTGCCTACTCATCCACAAAAGCCTTGCAGAGGTTCAGGCCAATGAATTCTGTTTGGCCCCTGACTGCCAGGTCCATTCTGCAGTCATTGCCACACAAATCCAGTGCCACAAAAACATCTCAGAACAGAAGTCCTCAGTCCTAGAAGGTACCCAGTTGCCAGCATGTGTTGGAGCCATGTACACGGTGCAGCCATGAAGGATCAATGCTATCTTGCAGCTTCTTCTGCAAGCTAAACACAGAGCAGTTCAAACAATTAATGTGATTTGCCTCAATTCAGGATACAGCTGGTCCACAAATATTTTAAGAGCAACCACTGATCAACCAATGAGCTAATGAATGTCTTATTACAGAAAAATGTGGTTATTTTTGCAACCTATACACACTAAAACAGAACAAATCCTATCATACTTCCTCTCATCCACACCACGCCCAGCTCTGTGAATCAGGCAGGGACACCAAACAGAGCAGAGCATGGTGCCTGCTGTTTGTGGAGAGGGCTGGAGGAGGTGACCTACCAGCAGCCAGCAGCGTGCCTTTTGCAGTCCTGGATGTTAAACATGTGAGGGCCAAAACCAAGGGCTTGAGAGGAAGTGTTGACCAGAGCAGGCTCTGAGGGAAGGTTGTGTTGCCTGAGGAAAAGCCCAGAAAGGCTGGATGATTTGAGAGTTTATGCCCCCACAGGAGCTCACCCTACTCACAGGCATTGGAGGTTCTTGTAGGATGCATTGCTATGGGAGCAAATGCTGAACAAATGGCTTATCCCAATATTAACATGTTTGTTTGCTCCATAGCTACCTGGAAGGATTTGTCTCACTTCCTCTGAATAGACATTGCATTCCAGAACTTCTCTAGCAGAGCTGACTTCTGTCACCAGGTGTCAGAGCATCCTCTGCATGTGCCTTTCACCTCCATCCCATTTCTAGCACTCTCAGATCAAATAGACTTTCCAATTTATTATAATTGGATAATTTTAAGTGATGATGCAGCAAAGCAGGGAAGTAAGGGAATAATCTTGGTTTTTTTTCAATAGGGCATTTTCTCCATGTTCAGGTAAGATCCAAAACATCTGTTTCAGTGACTGCAGTCTGTGAGATGCTGTTCCAAATGACTGTGTCTTTCAACTTTATTGATGTTGCAGTCTGAAACCAAGCATCATCACATTTCTTCCAGTTTAAATTACTATGTTAGATTACATTTTTTAAATCAGTTTATAAAACAGTAATTACACAATGAGTTAATGAATTGGTTTATGCTTCCTTTCTGCTGGCCATCTTAACTTAGAGAAGCAGAATAGACAAAACCCTAAAACTTCTTTTTTGTCATGGTGCTCCTTGCACCACTTTATCTTACAAAACAGTCTGGAGCTTGAAGTGAGTTTGCCCAGTTTTGGTGTGTCCTAGCAGAAATCATCTATCAAAAATCATTTAAAACTATGTGGTAAGTGATTTTATGCAACACTATGGATGCAGGCAGGATTTCACCCAGCAACAGTGCCTGTGCCCTTAAATAGGCTCCTAAATATGACTTTTTGCCTGTGTCACTGACAATACCATCACACACAAAAAGAAAGCTGGCCTTGTAAAAGAAGGAAGACACTGACAGCACTGACCCTTCTCTATATCCAGGGTCCTAACAGGGAGTGATGGGTAGAACTGTCTTCTCCAGATATTCAAGAGTCTCCTTCTCAATCGATATCTTTCATTTCAAAGGGGTGGAGGGGAAAAAAATTCAGTGGGTGTGTAAACTGGGTCTGGACATGAGCATCTGCAGAGACAAAACTCTTGGTACAGATCTGGAAAGTCTCTCAAAAGCATCTGTGGTCTCATCTCTCAGCAAACTCCACGTGGTTCTGTATGTGCACAGAGCAAGAAGCTTGTCTGAGCTGGCAGAGAGGATGTGGAGAAATGCTCAGAAAAAAACAGCTCTGCCCTAGTGTGGGAAATCAGTGCCTGAGGGCTTCATCAAAACCATTTAACTCAGAGTTTCCTGTTGTACCTTCACATCAGACATCCCAGTGGTGATTCTCAGAGCTGCAGGCTGTGTGTGACCTCCAGAACAGCCACCCCACCCCTCATTAGACAGCTCTGCCCCACTGGTGGCCTAACCAAGGCACTCACATGCTGCATGGTGGTGTGGTGTGCTCACAGGGGCGGGAGGAGGTGTCCAGTGTGCCTGTTGGTCACTGCATCAGCTGCTGGCCCATCCATCACCCCCTCAGGTGCCTATCAGCAGGGACAGACGTGTGCAGCAGGCTGGGTGCCACCTGCTCTGGTGTCTGTGGGGATCTAGTCCAGAACTGAGTGGCCAGCCTGTCATGCATGGAACAGCAGAGAAGCTTGCTAAGAGAGCAAGTTAGTGATCACAGCCCAGGCTGATGGGGCAGAAGGGCTGGTAGCCTCCTCTCTTCTCTCTGCCAATAGTTGGTGCACCTCATTTCCCAGGGCTGCCATGCTGTTGTCTGTTGCAGTTTCCAGGACAAGGAAAATAAGCAGGGCCATTGCTGTCTGGACAGCTATAACATATCCACAGGGAAAATTATTGCCCTGGCTTAGCCTTTGCTTGTTCATCTTCCACCTTTTTCATCTAGAAAATGGAAAAGCCAGCCAGCTCTTTAATAGGCTAATTAGGAAATGTAAGACATGATAGGCTATTTGTGAATTCAGCTCTCTTAGCCCAAAAGGGAAAAGGGGGAGTTTCATTGCATGGGCTTTTTGTCACCATTTCCTCTGTTAAAATCACACATTGGTCCCTTGAATATAGACAAAGTCCTTTAATGAATGAGCTTATTCCCATCCCTGCCTCTGCAGACTCTTAATGTTTGTCTCAGTAGGATCTTTGCTTCCAGTTGGATGTGACCAGTTTCAGATGTACATTACCAGAGTCCATCCCCTCATTCTTGTAATGGGCCAGGAGCTGCTGATGCCTTTAAGTATCTCACTGCTTTAATGGGATTTGCTGCTGGCTGCCAAATTGATATCTAGTGTGTAAGCTGGAGAGAGGGGCGAGAACTGCTCCCTCACCTATTAATAAATCAGCACTGCAGGGAAGAGTTTTCTGCTGGGAGCCAAGTCTCATCAGTACACGCTGCTAAGGGAGGGGGTGGTAACATGAGAACAGCTGCCCTGCAGGGAGCTGGGCTCAGAACAAAGGGATTTGGCCCAAAGTGACAATGCTGCAGCGTTAGCAGAAGCATGATCCATCCAGGAGGCCTCTCAGCATCACTTAGCTGGTGTCCCACGACCAGCCCTGCTGGAGTGACTGCTGCTGCCCTGCATACTGAAAGGCTCCACTCAGCCAGAACTTAAAAAAAACCATGGGAGAAAGATGTAGGGAGCTCTTAGCCAGTTATTTCAGTGACTAAGAATCATCCCTTCCCCTGAAAGGAGCGTGTCTGGGACAGCATCCCACCCAGACAAATGGGCCCTGACAAGCAAAGGTGGCTCCTGCTCAGCCTTGGATTGGGTTCTGCACCTCCCAGCTCTGCAGAGCCCAGCCCATTGTGGACACCTTGGCACCCCATTTAGGAAGAACAGGCCAAAGGAGATGCTCAGCCTGTCCAGGGTCCCCATGGCAGCTGTGGGCACAGCCCCAGGGCTCATGGCTGTTGTGCTTGTTGCCAAGGCCATTACTCTCATTGAAGGCCTGGGATTGCTTTGCACTTGGAACAAATTAATCTTCATTAAAGGATGAATAGAAGATATTTTCTTTGGCTGTCAAGGAGGAGAAAACACAGGAAATGTTCAGGAAGGAAAATGCCATACGTGTCCCTTCAAATACACACAAATGGCAGGCCAACTCAGGATCATTTCCTACACGGTTCCTTGGCTTGTTCAGAGCCTGACAGGCTTGTCTCCTTGCCATGGGCAGTATCTGCACCCACAGTGGAACACAGGTGCTTCTGGGGTATGATGAGTCAGATGGCTCATGCTCCATAGTGCCAGTCTCTGCACTGATCAAACAGGGTTTGTGACGATGGCTTAGATGTCTGCTTGGTACCATCTGTTGCCAGGTGAGATGAATCCTGCCCTGCAATGGCTTTGTCATTACACCAGAGAATCCTGGCCCTGTTTTGATTGTTTTGTTCCTCTAAAATTACCCCAGGACATACTGGAAATGTCCTGGCTGAGACAAAGGGTCAGCCTTAGAGAGTAGAGACAGCATATGAGCACTGGGGCAGCAAAGTGCATATGGCTCTTTGAGCCAGTCTGGGAAGCTTTTGTACCTTCCAGAGAGGCACAGGAGGCCAGGACAGATGCAGGACACCAAGGAGGGCTTGTCCTGGACTGAATTCAAGGTGCCAGAGCAGACCCTGAGCTGGTGGAGAGCTGGCCTGGTGCAGGTGCATCTGGGAGGGCTGGTCTGCTGCCCTGTCCCCAGGAGAGGGGGAGGTCTCTCCTCAAAGAGAAGGATTATGGCTGCACTTTTGGAAACCAGTTCAGCAGCTGGGAGGTGACCCAGGCGATGGAGATCCTACCCTGGAGGTCTCTTGCTGTCACCAGAAATAAAACAACCTTTCAATGACAGCCTTGATCCAGCCTTAGGGGCACTGCAGTAATTTCTAATCTCTGCCCTGGTTTCCTACAGCCCAAGGAGAAACTCTATGATATGGGAGGAGGTGTGGCATGGTTTTACACAGGCAACAAGTGCAGGGGCTCACTCTCACCCATCCCTCAACAAGGGGCTCCTCTCCACACTGCCTTCATTAGTCTCATGGCTGTGCATCCCCAAGTGGAGTTCAGAGTGATTGTGCTAAAATTAAGGTAGTAATTGAGATATTTTTTTTAAGCTGCCAGGAGACAACGACCTTGCAACAGAATCCTCCTGCATGGCACAGCGTAAAGCAGAAAAAGAAAACATCGGATTACTGGAGAGTTGTAGTGTCATTTATAGATATAAAACCTGTGCCTGAGGAACGGAGCGAGTGCAAATGCAGGCAGGCAGGCGCCGCTTTTGCTGGGTTTGGCGAGCCGGAGGAATGCCTCGTAAGGGACGCTAGAGGGAAGAAGAGAGTCTCACAAGTGCAACTTCCAAAAGCAAAGAGACTCGAAAACCAAACCCAAGCAGCTCCAGGTGGTTCAGGAGGCATTTGGCACTCAGTGGGCTCAACATTTTCTTTTTACCTATCCAGCATCCAGTGTGGTG